ACAGTATTTTATGGGGAAATACTTTATAATATTTATTTCCATGTTTTGAAATACAGTTTTTCTTTCTTATCTGCCTTGATCATAATTCATCATTTTTGTAAGTTCCATCATTATGTATCGCAACAAGTATTTAACTTGAAAGCAACAAAAATGAATCTTAAATTTCACATTTTATTCATGCTCTACCTCAGTTTTGCATGTGGACTGTCCTTGCTTTTCTCACACACCATTTCGATTAATCTTACAATTTAGGAACATAATTGATCCATTTTTATATATATCACCATACTCCGTATAATTATATGGCTTTATGAAAAATATTCCTCAATCTACATGTGAATTCAATTACAAATTTATCCAGTAACATCCATGGGTTAAATATAAAACATCTCACCAAGTGCTAGACATTATATATAAACGTTAAGCATTTGCATACATTACTGAAAGGTAAAAGTATAGATAAAATTAACCTGGATTTTGGTCTATATATAGTAACTCTGATGTATAGCAAATTTGTTTTATTATAATTATCATTTTGTATTAAATGCTATAGCTTAATTTCACAATATATTTGTCGTCACTGAATGTCATTAATACTTTATAAAACTAAAATAGAGTAATTTAAATAAATTATTTATTTTGTCTATATTTGGCTGTTGAATTTACATCATACTATGTGATTAAGAAATCCTTCGTGATAAATGTTAACTTAACAGATATTTCCAAGTTTCCAACATATATAATATTTTTTTGACAAAGAACACATAATAATTTGATTGTGATCTATTTTCCTTACATTTTTATTTATGGATATAACCAAGTCCGAACATAATTTATAGCTTATATTCTAATATATACTATATCTCTTGCAACATAGTTTATGTCAGGCCTTGAATGAATCAGAGGTTTTATCGAAGCTACAAACATCGACACTAAAAGGAACGGATAGAAATTCAGCCGTTGGGAACATCTTCGCTCTTTATTTTTCTTATTCTCTTTTTTTCATCTTTTTTTTTCTTTTCTTTTATTGTTCCTTTTTGCATGAGATTCAAAAGCCCCACACCACTTCAATCCAAAGAAAAGTTATTTCATGTTTAACTAATTTTATTTAAATTTCTCGGGATGTCCGACATCTAGTCATATGTATGTTTTGATAAAAAAAAAGTCATATGTATGTATATTATATAGTTATACGAAAGCCATGGACTTTGAAAAGTTTTTTTGGCGATGAACTTCGACATCTGTGGTATTATGGAATTGTTTCAGAGTTTTTAAAAGAGATCTAATTAAGCCTTAAACAAAGTGGTTCACAGAGATACATATGTTGAATCCCTGTGAATACAACTAAGACCAGTAATCAAATAAAAGAACAATTTCTATATTATTTCATTCTTTTTTTTCTGAAAATTATAGTAATTCAAGTGTACAAGTCAAATTACATAAATAAACCATACAAACTAGTTTCATAAGATACTGGTGTTTTTTCTCAAAAAGAAGGATAACTGTGGTTTTCACCAATTCATTTTATGAAGTTCGAACAGTATTTTGTCAACAAAACATTTTAAATTAGGGGTCTTTTCCGTGTACATGTGTATACATGATACATTCGTATTTCGTTGTTTATATACTCCCAGTTTCGAAAAGATAAACATTTTATAAATAATATTTATTTTAAAAATATATATATTTTACATTTTTATTGTATAATTTAATGAAAATTATAGATTCTCAAAAAATTTAATTTAATTTTTTAAAATTCTATTAGTTAAAAATATAGGGATGTTATTTATAATAAACAATGTATTGGTAATCAAAATTTTATATTTTTTTTAATATATGTAAAAAATTAAAACGTTTAATTTTTTGAAATGGAGAGAGTATATCATAGTAGTAAAATTTTAACATATATACGAATTCACGATGAAAAATATGAAAAATTAGAAATTCATAAGCGCACACATATTCAATTATGTATACTATAAACGGTGCAGCCGACGAACTGGGGACCAATTCACGGACCAGCTCATAGCTCATTTGCTGTAAATAATCTAATTCAGAAAATAATTGTTGCAAAATAGTTCGTTTTACGTTTTTTTTTATATCTTGTTGATAATTGAAAATGGTTAATGTCTTCATGATGTATAATTGCGTATAGTGGAGGAATATTGGTTGTCTTTCTTTCTGAGGAATATTGGTCCTCCAAAACCCAAAGAATTATCCTTTACATATTCTTTATTCTTGATCTCAAATTACTCATAACACACAATAACAGTTCCAATCGAATTTACAAAGAATCGTGTCATCTTCTTGGAGAAAACTTTAAGTTGAAAAAGGCATTATCTTAAGAGAACATATAGATGACATATGCTAAGATCTAGATATAGTCTTGAAAAATAATAAAAAGACAAAAATATATCTTACTGACAGCTATTGTGACTAACAATGCATGCGATGGTAGAAGCTTGGATGCAAGCTACAAAATTTTTAAACCTTTTGCAGTCTCTTAGATGCAAAATTGCTGTGTGAACAAATTGTGGATGCAATTCACTTTGTATACAAACTTTTATTTTCATTAATGATATTTACAGTCTTTCTTGAAAAATGCATGCGATGGTTTTAATGATAAACTACCTAAGTAGATACAACTTATTGCTAAATAGTAGTGACGTTCTGCTATTTACAGATTATCAGGAAAAAAATATAAACTTAAAACAATAACCAAAGATAGACTAAAAACCTGGATTTCAAAGTTTTGAACTGTGACAATAGATATTTTGCAAACTTTGGTATTCTTTTTTCGTTAACAAGAAAGCTAAATTATACAGTTCGACTAGACTAGATCATACAAAATTAGATGCATTCTATATGATTAAGTCTCATACTTAATTATGTATATAGGGAACAAACAACATCATTGTTTGCAAAAATCAAGTTCTACTATCTAGTGTTGTGACTATAAGTATATACTGTAGCCATTACCTATCTAGTCTGATATATAAACAAATATGTTCTACTTATGATAATTTCTTGTTATTTAGTTATTAATATTCTTTGTTTCATTTTCTAAAAACATCAACATGGAATGAATTATACATAGCTAAAACCAAAGAAGACATAGCTAAAAAAATACCTAGAATATACACATGAAAGAAATTTTTGGTCAGTGTTTGTTTTTTATATTACGAAAATAAATTTCCCTTAATGCCGACAATCTTTCTAACAAAGCAAATGCACGAGTCCTGGATTTTTAACACTATTATGGGGTTTTACGTGCATATCAGTTTACTGACATCTGATTTCTCATCATACATGTATTATTTATATGTTTTTTTTTTTACTGACATCTGATGGCGGTTGCTAGCGTTTTGCACGAGTCCTGGATTTTTAACACTATTATGGGGTTTTTGATTCACTTTCTCTATTTGTAAATTAATATATGTTCTCAAGGTACAGTTATATGGCAGATGAACTGGCCGTAGCGTGTAAGAAAATACAAACCCGTACCTTATAATATAATTTTCTAAACTAAAGGATAAAGTCAAAAACATTATGCACCAAATGTTAGCAGAAAAAAAGAAGTTAAAAACATTATAATAAGCGAAATAATTATATTTTATTTCTGACTATACTGCAACTACAACATATCATCACTGACCTGTATATAAATTCCAAAAATGTATGAAATTATCTTCATTTCTCGTTCATACTAATTTCATAAACAACCTTATCAAATCAAAAATAAACATTGTAAAACATACTGGGCCTTAATAATTCACGTGCAGGCTCGTTCACAGGACTAAGGGTCCGACTGGTTTCCCCGCTACCACCCGCAAACGCAGCTTTTGCGGTTGATGGCGGTTGCTAGCGTTTTGCAACAATCACAAAAACCGCTACAAATCGCTTCAAACCGCTCCCAATCTCTTAAAATCAAAAGCTGGTTTCAGCTAACGTTTGCGTTTGCGGGCGATTGCGGGTGGGTAAAAAACTATTTTTTAATTTAAAATTAAAATATAAAAATAAAAATAATATAACTAAAACTATATCTACCTTTTATTTTTTAATTTAAATTCACTAAAAATATCATAATCTATTTATAAGAACTTTAAATCAAGAATTTTCACTATATTTTTTAATATTAAATATATAATATATAATATATAATATATAATATATAAATATATAAATATATAGATATATAAATATATAGATATATAAATATATAAATATATAAATATATAGATATATAAATATAGAAATATATAAATATATAAATATATAAATATATAAATATATAAATATATAAATATATAAATATATAAATATATAAATATATAAATATATAAATATATAAATATAGAAATATATAAATATATAAATATATAAATATATAAATATATAAATATATAAATATATAAATATATAAATATATAAATATATAAATATATAAATATA